CAGCGTGAAGCTGAGGAGAAGGCCCAGCGTGAAGCTGAGGAGAAGGCCCAGCAGGAGAAGGCTCAGCGTGAAGCTGAGGAGAAGGCTAAGCCTGAAGAGAAACCTGAGGAGCATGACATCAATGTTGTGCTAGGAGAAGCTGCAAAAATTGCCGAAGGTCGAGTTGCTGCTGATCTCGCTGATGCTGCAGCGCAACGGTCAGGTCACGCTCCCCTTCCAGAGGTCTCCGGGTTGAAGCACAGGGCATCTTTGAGTATGAGGATAGATGCTATTCATCTTCTTGAGACCTACATGACTGAGAATGACTGCACTGAGGAGGAGATGTTGGTTCTCCTGAGGAAGAGGCTGTCTGATGATGTTCGTGCCCCTGTTGTTCCTCGAGTTCAGCAGTTCATGGCGCGCCCACCCCGCAAAGGCCGTGGACGTGGGCGTGGTAAAGGGCGCGGACGTGGCAACGCAGCTCTTGAAGCTGCAGATGTCATTGATTTGGATGGGGATGGTGAGCCTGGTGAGCCTGGTGAGTCTAAAGCTGATGGGGAGCCAAAGACGCCTGCAGCCAAGGCAAGGCCAGGACCCAAGGCAGCAGCAAAGGCAAAAGCGAAAGTAAAAGCAAAGGCTAAGGCCAAAGGAAAGGGTAAGGCAACCAAGCCTCGAGAGGATGAGCCTCAAGAAAATCACAGCGAGGCTTCTGGTGCTGTGCCAGCCGCCATGCTGGAGTCTGCTGAGGTCAAGAATGATGGTGAGGATGCCATGGTGGCGCCTGCTGAGGCTGAGGCCAAGAATGAGGGTCCGGGTGGCAAGGATGGTGCTGAGACAGAGCCCAAGACCAAGAGGCGTCGTGTTACTGGTGCAACCTTTGGTCGCAGGCCGTGCCCGTCGACCTGTCCCAAAGCCAAGGCCCGGTGGAACGCAATCAAAGATGTCTTCATGGAGAATATCTCTGACCAAATTCGCGACCTTGGTTTTGGACCTTTTCAGTGGCAGGACTATAGTTGAAAAATCTGAAGTTTGTCAATGATTGTTTTGTTTTTGTTTGCTTGTTTTATCGCAAGCATGCGGTATCTGACTATCAGGTCTTGGCTGGAATCAGTTGTTTTGATTTCAGGAGCTTTGGTGGAACACATGCGTGAAGGTGTTCAACGCCAACCCGCCGCAGGATGTCTCTGAGTACAAGGGAATGGCTGCTGGTTGCATCACTGATTTCATCGACATCGTGAAGAAGAGCTAGCGCTGCCCCAATTGCGGCAACAATTAGGTGTAGTTTCCAGCTGGTGGCCTGGTGTGCTTATAAGTTTGTTCTGCATGGTCAAAACTTGTTTTCTATCGTTGTCATGTGCTGATGTTTGAGGGTGTTCCAGCTGGCTTTTGAAACAAATGTGTGCACAGCACATATATCGTACGTACGCTAGTTAACACGAGTGTCACTCGTGCCATGACCAACATCGGGGAGCTTGGGGATGTGAAAAACAGCGGTGCACAACAGGTTCCTATTTTGCAATCTTGGGTGCAGCTGCTCTCAACAGAAGCGAAAAAGAAACACAAATATGTTTATAGCGGGTAGCTTTCCCATGGACCGGCCCATCCCGTCCAGTTTTAAGTTTCTCTTCTCCCAAACTCTCTCCTCCGTGCCAGGTCATGTACGGTCTCAAGCGGGGCCAGATTGGCCTGGCAAAGCTTGGGATTGGAGTGTATCATTCCGAAGTTCCAGGCATGAACTGGGAAACGATGTTTTTGAGATTTGAATTTGAAGGTTGACGTGCAACCTGACATGTCTGTCACAAAGACCCATGGTTTCTGCAGTGGTGCTACTGCTCAAGCGATGGTTGATGTTGTGAAGCCATGGGACCACATGAGTTGGACCTTTTCTTCAAACGCCTATTTGCACTCCGTTGCCCAAAGGTACCTTGTTTGCCATCAACCAACCCCTTGTTTGGCAGGAGCATTCCAAACCAGTCTCCAATCCAACCGAACCCATCTAAGGTCATCATACTTCTGGTGCTATTGGTAAGCTGGATGGAAGATGATGAGGGCACCCAAATGGAGTATGGACTTATTGAATATTTCTCTGGAGTTGGGCGGGTAGCTCAAATGGCGGAGATGGGGGGTATTCATGCTGTGGCATATGATTTTGAGTACTCAATGCCTAAAGTTGGCAAGCGGCGTAGCATGGACATGAACTCGTCTGCAGGCCTTGTGCTAGCAATCAAGCTCATACTTCGGTCACGCTTCAACCAGCTGGTGTCTCTGTTTGCGACATGCTGTAGCAGTTGGACACCTGTAAACAGAGGAACCGGTAAGAGGTGCATTATCACGCCGCATGGAGATGAACAAGTTCCTTCTGTTCGCAAAAGCAACAAACTCGTGTCAAGGTTCTTTGGGCGGCAATTGAAACATCGTTTCATTTCATGTGCAAGCATCATGCTAGCTGGCATTTGCTAGTTTTTGGTTAACCTACTCAAGGTCAGTGATTCTTATGCTTTTGACCGTGGCTTCTGGTGGAACCA